GGGAAAGTGTATTTCATATAAGAAAAATTTAGAAAGTAACTGAAACATAATTTGGGGAAATACCATTCTGAAAGTTTGAACACCCCAAGCTATGCTGTGAGGGTCCGTGGTTGCATGAAATCACAGAAACAAGTCTGGCTTCTCACCAATGACCAACCTCTTAGATATTCTAGGGACACCAAGTAAGGAGCCAAAATTCTGAGGCTGGACTGTGGCTGTAGGTCCTCTTTATCCTCTACCCACCATCTCTCTGTCTACTCAATGAAAAAAGAAGATAATAATGTTTGACCTCAGATAGGGTGAATGTTAAATGAGGTAAAATGACAAAAGTGCTAGGAACATTACTAGTCACAGATGAATAAGTGCATGTAATGTTAGTTTAAAAAGTTAATATCTACAGTACTTACTGCACAGAATCTATGTAAGAGATGGCTGTTACTATTATTGACTTATGAGATGTGTTACTCTGGTTCACCAATCTTAGTATCTATTTATACATATAAGAATTTGGAAAATGAAAAGCAATCAACTTAATGGGGGAAAATACCTGCACATCATATATCTCATAAGGCATTAATAGTCAAAATATATAAAGGAGTCATACAACTCAATATCAAAAAAGTAACTAATCTGATTAGAAGATGTGCAAAGGATATGGATAGATATCTTTCTAAAGAAGACATATAGATGACCAACAGGTAGGTGAAAAGATGCTCAACATCGCTAATCATCAAGGAAATGCAAATAAATCCCACAATGAGATATAACTTCACACCTGTTAGAATGGCTATCACCAAAAAGACAAGAGATAACAAATGCTGGTGAGGATGTGGAGAAAGAGAACCCCTGTGCACTATTGGTGATGATGTAAATTGGTGCAGCCATTATTGAAAAGACTATGGAGGTTTCTCAAAAGAATTCAAAATAGAACTACCACAGATTCCAGCAATTCTACTTTTAGGTAATTTATCTGAAGAAAACAGAAACACTAACTTGAAAAGATACATATGCACCCTCTTGTTCATTGAAGCATTATTTGCAATAGTCAAGATATGAAAACAACCTAAATGTCCACGTATGGATGGACAGATAAAGAAAATGTGGTATATATATGTATGTGTGTGTATATATGCATGTAACATACATATATATACAATAAAATATTATTCAACAATAAATAATAGTGAAATCTTTCTATCTGTGACAACATGGATGGAACCTAAGGGCATTATGTAAGTGAAATAAGTCGGATAGAAAAAGAAAAATAGCACATGATCTCATTTATATGTGGAATCTTAAAAACGAAAAACAAGCTCATAGGTACAGAGAATAGATTGGTGGTTACTAGAGGCAAAGGATGGGGGTGGGAAAAATGGGTGAAGGGAGCCAAAAAAGTACAAACTTACAGTTACAAAATAAACAAGTCATGCTGATGTAATATACAGAATGGCCACAATTGTTAATAATAGTCAATAATATTATATTGTATATTTTGAAGTTGTGAATTAGACTTGAAATTTCCTCATTTTAAGGCTAGTTGTTTCAGTTACACTAAAAAAAATATATATGTTAATTTTTAAAAATTCTTTGTTAATCATATTTGCAGTCCCAATACTATCAATGAGCTTGAATGTGTTAAATGAGTGTTAAACAGGTTTTTAGAATAAAGCATGAAAAAAGAAAACATAACTCAGAAAAAGAACTTAATTTGAATAATTTCTGTGGTCCCAGACTATATATATGCATAGAAGACTTTATGTAAATACCTATAAATCCTACGTAAATATGTATATCTGCATAAATATATAAATATGAAATATAAATAAATATGTAATACATATTTCTTATTTTCACCCCGATTAAGAACAACTTTATGGAGAATCTCATCTCAGTTCTGTCTAGTACATGCTTCTCCAACTTCATCTCCTTAAATTTTGTACCATTTGTTCTAAATTTCAGGGAGAAGGACTAGCATTTAGAAGGCCATTGCCATTTACAGAACAAGGCTTCAGTTGTCTTTGCAAATATAATCTGTTATATTGTCTATAGCAATCAACTTTTCATGGAAAATGAGATGCAGAAAGGAAAATTGAACAAGACTCAGATGTCTCTGACTCCAGTTCACTGTTTCCTCTTCTATCTGGCTGCTCACAGCCTATGTATGTCTTAGATGCTGGAGATGAATCAAAGAAAAGAATTATACCTAGTTACAGATAAGGAGGTCACATCAGTGTTTTCAGGGAGAAATATTATATAAATATGACTTAAAGAAATCTTAAAAGAGCTACAAAGGTAAATAAGAAAGAACAATAGAAGCAAAATACGTTTGGCCTTTCTGAAGAAAATCAGTAATAGCTTTTTCTAACTTTCCTCTTATGGAGATTAAACCATTGCAATTTTTCAATTTCTGATGTGTTAAATGCTACATTGTAAAAGTCCTTACTAACAAGAAGGATATTTGACACTTCTTTCTGAGAAAAGTTTAGAAGTGGTTACGATACAGGCATATTTCAATTCCTGAGTTTCAAATACATCTTGTACTCTTGAAATAATTTCAAAGACCAATTACAGTATTCAACTTAATGAAAGTCCCATGTTCTGGGGCGCTGAAGCATTAGACAGCAGTAAAAATGAATTTGATGTCAATATAAATATCCAACAAATCTGGGACACATAGCATTAAAAAAATATGAGCTTGTCAAATTCCACCCCCATTGGCAAATGAAAGCTGAGCCCTGTGCAAATTTTAAAAACAGTCCAATAAACACAAAACACACTTGCTGACTGGGTCTATGTTTGTTGTCATAGTGAAGCAAGGGCCAGCACAGTGACTGGCACATGCATAGACCTCACAGCTGTTTTGTGAATGAATGGAGGGGGAGCGGGAGGGCCAATGGGAATTCTGGGCAAATCTTTGTTGCATTTTGGTAAATGGCGGTGACTGTGATCAAGCCACACCAAACAGCCCACCTAGGACACAAGACAGACAAAGGAATACTGTCTACAACGCAACTGGCCTCCCTGCTCACTCTTAGTTCCCTCTATCTAATTCCTTGAGTTTAATGTAAATAGCTTAGTGCATATTTAAGTTGAGGAATTATTAATAGTGATGGTAGAAGAATATTGAATCTTTATTTGAAGCTGATAGCATCTCAGCAATTGTCCTATTGCTTTAGCACATTTTATCTTCCCCAAGAGCCTATGAGGTACGTACTCATCTTATTATGTGCCCTTGCAGATAAAAACAAATGGGTTTCCAGGGCATCTGCCTACTATCACACAACTAGGCTGATGGAGAACCCATGTCTCAGCTCAAGTGTGCGTCCCAGAGCCTGAAATGCTGCCTTAGCTCTCCAGGAACACAGTCCTCCCTGCACAGGATACACTGTGGGTATTAGCCACTTACTCTCTGTTTCATCTGGAAAAGACAAATATGATTGAGACATTTATTTCAGTGTTCTGACTACCAGAAAAAAATCCCCACTCAAAATAAAATAAGACCCCCTTTTCCTGTAAAATTTCATTCTCAATAAAACAAAGTTATTGTCCAATAATATAAGAGGAATGTATATTCTTTTGCTCATAGATAATTGGAAATCAAGAACTGATTTATGAATAAGTTGCAGAAAATAAGTGATATATAAAAGATTAAAAAAATACAAAATTTTTTCCTCCATAAAAATAGGTGGTAGGGAAAAGATCCGGGAAATATGGTCAAGAATTAATAGAATGTGTCAGAAGCAGAAGAGGAAAAAGCAATCGTTACCGTTTTGCTCCTGTGGTTCTGTCGTCCTACCTGATGAACCCAGCATGAGGTGATGCCACAATCCTCATCTAGATGAGCTGCTGGAGTGTGGCTGTTAACTCTATAGAGAGAGTAAAGTGATGTCATCTCTGGTTTTATTACACCCATTAAAGGAGTGGATGAAAGTTTTCTGTTGATAAATCCCACATGGGACTTCAAAAAAGCGTGCTATTAAGACAGCTGAAAAAGCTAGTAAACATGTCTGTTGCACTTTTGTGGTTTTCTTTTCATGTCTTTTTTCTTTCTCCTTTTATTGTACACTAGAAATCTTAATCAATATTAACAATAATCTCAAATCTCACCTCATCAATAAAATCTTATCTATGAAATGTATCTTATTTTATAGATAGCCTTAGCCTTTTTCACTTACAACATAGTTTTCTTGTATGCATGTATATGTCCTCATTTAATCTTCAAAATTATTCTGTGAAGTATTGACATTGCTCTTCTCATCTTTCACAGATACAGACTCTAAAACTCTTGGTCTAATTGGTGCATCAAAGACAGCACCACTAATCAGTACTGTGGCTGAGACTAAAATTGAGGTGGTCTCCTTTACACCTTTGTCTGGATCACTCTTCATTAGGTTACTTATTGTCCTCTTTCTTCTGTCACTCAGTTACAATCAATGTTGTCCTAACATTGCATTGCATTTTAGGGCACTTGTTTTTAATTTAAATGTTGAATGCTAATTGTAGAAAAATATAAATGCACAAAAGATTACTCCCCCAAAATTAAATCAACCAGAATGCAATCACCCAGACAAAAATCATGCCTTAAATGTTATATCTTGCCTTCAAACTACAAATATTTATGGAGTGTATACCATGCACCAGGCAGTTGAGATAAACCAGGTAACAAAATAGAAGCAAACCCACCCTCATGGAACTTGCGGTCAAATTTCAGAGCCTTTTTTGTATGTGTGTTGTCGAACTATGTTGATCATTTTCCCATGCCATCCTTTGTTCATGATATCCTTTGTTCATGACATCCTTTGTCCAGGTTGTGACTTCTGTTTGTAAAGCCCACACTTGCAATCTGGAGCCCGCTGTGCCCTCCTGGGTTTCAGCTGCAGATGGTTCATCCAGACCCCTTCATCAATTGGTTTCCCATAAGTCTCTGAAAGTACAGTACTTTGGGAGCACTGAAGAGCGGGAGGAAGAAAGAAATTTCATCTTTTTTCCTGCTTCTGGCGATGGTCTCTGGATGCTGCAACAGCTCTAGGCAGCTGAGGACTGTGATGCAGCTGTGGGATCCAGCACCCAAAGGCAGTTTCAGTGGCATTGGTGGGATGCAGGCATCTGGGTTGCAGCAGGGGAGGGTCCCAGCAGTAACCCCAAGAAGAGAGTCTCATCGGCTCAGCAGTGAGGGGGATGTGAGGTTCCAAGGTTGGCGAGGACTCCTGGTCCTAGGGTGACAACACTCCCCTTCCTGCTTCCCCAGCCTTCTCTCCAGCCTTTTGCCACCTCTGTAACCAAACTCCTGCATTAAACCTCTTCAGTTTGAAATGCATAAAGTGTTTGCATGTGATTGGACATTAAATAATGATGTTAATATTCTATCAAATTAATTATACCTCAGTTACGATCCTCCCTAATATTGAATAATGACATTTCATTCAGATTTCTAAATTATAAGTTTTGCTAAAATAAAAGTGCTTATAAAGAAAGCATTCTCTGAATGTAACTTTTCCTAAGACAATTCACCGGAGGGTACATAAAGTTTCAAGTTTTTTCATACACAAAACTGAATTGCTTTCCCAAATCTTCTTCAAATTATGCTTTGACTTCAAAATTCACCTGAACTAGCATTAAATTGTATGTGCCTTTTCATCTCAGTTAATATGATAAGAAAATCCTTGTTTAATCTGCCTTTCTTGATTATTAATGTTTATATGGTGTTCATATGTTTACCCTTGTAACTACTTATGTGAAATATCCGTTTATAGCTTTTGTACATTTTTCCTATTGAAACTTTTTCCTTATACATATAAAAGTGTTTACATATTAATAATCATAACTCTGTGAGTTGTATGAACTATAATACTTTAATTTCAGTTTTAATTTTGATATTTTGTTCCATAAGATTTTTAAAAAATATTTAGTCTAATACATTCACTTTAATGATTTCTTTCAGCACCTTTGTGTTTAGAAAGTCCTCACACATTTTTGGATCATGAAAATTTTCATCTTTACATATTTTTAAGAATGAACTTGAGCATATTTTTGTAAATTTAACTTCTAATGCAGCAATAAGTTATTGGAGATGTGATATGAAATAGGTTTCTAACATGATTGTTTGCAATTAGAGACTAATTTAAAGTGTTAAATGATCCTTTTTTCATTCATTCATTCCAAAAATATTTATTAGTATCAGTTATGTTCCAACCACTCTTCTAGGTTCATGATGGTGAAAACAATGATTCTGCCCTCATACAGCTCATATTCTAGTGATAAACAAAGACAATCAACTACTGAATACACAATATTATGCCAGGTATTAATAACTACAATGAATAAAATTAAAAGCAGGGTGAGAATCATGAGGGAATCTATTTTATACAGAATGTGAAATTTCATCAGACCCATCAATGAAACAATGGAGTCAGCGATTAAACTTCTGGGCAGGGATGTTTAAGCAGAGGGAACTGGAAGGGTAAAGACCCTGAGACAGAATCTCACTTGCCATGTGTGATGAGCAACAATAAGATCCGTTCCCACAGGTTATGGTGAGAAACTTAGAGAAACATAGAAAATCAAGTTACACATGGAGCCAAGAGGCAGGTCCTCCAGGATTGTGAGGGGGCTCAGAAGGACCAGAGATGATCAAGATGTGTTTAGGGAAATGGTTAACAAAAGACATGTATAAAACTCAAAAGAGTGTGCATTTAGAAAAGGGAAGAAAATCACAACCAATCAATGGTCTCTTTCTTCTATTATCTCTTAGGACAGTTTACTAGACATGCTCACACTGTCTTATGCCACGACTGCAGTCTGGCTTGCCCTCTCCACCACAACATGCTACAACTCCCAGCAACTGCCAGTACTCACAGAGCCTCACAGAGTGCAGAGCCTCAGAGCTTTGACTCTCCTGCCTCTTGGTAAATCCCACTCTGAGATGTGACTGGAGGATTTAGAGAGAGGAAAGGCATGATAGGACTTAGGTGCACAAGCGTCACTGAAGGTTTGATGGAGAAAAAAGTCCAGGGAGCAAGAATGCAGAGAGTGGTTTGAGTGAGTCCTGGTGAGAGACGTGGTGGCTGAGTGAGGGGGTGGTGATGTTAGGTTGAAGTGCTATCGATGCACTCAGGACACTGGGGCTGGGCACGATGGAGAGGAAACTTAGAACTGAGTTTGAGACTCAAATTTCCCAATAGACATGTGCATGGAGATGAGGCAAGACCACTGGGTGCCTGAGTCAGGAGTTCAAAGGGGAGGACACACCTGAAGTCATGGTTTAGGGGATGAGCAATGTGTAGAAGAAGGAATTGGATTGCATGATGAGGGAGAGTGGGTGTCTTACACCAGAAACCAGTGTAGATGAGGTTAAATTTCCATCTCATCTCTTCTTTTCCAATCACCTAATGCCAAATGCCTTTAAAATATCTTGTTTTATTGATGTTGTTCATGAGAATTTTTAACATCTAGTGGGACAATTCTCCTTGTTATCCCTATATTCACATTCAAACTTGGCAATTTCTTGCCTGTTTGTTTCTTCTTTAAGTTGATCTTTTAAATCTCTCGGTCAAGTTCAGCAGATCTAATAGAATATATCTTTTCTTTCTTTTTTTTTTTTTGAGGAAGATTAGTCCTGAGCTAACATCTGCCACCTATCCTCCTCTTTTCTGCTGAGGAATGTTGGCCCTGATCTAACTTCTGTGGTCGTCTGCCTCCATTTTATATGTGGACTGCCTGCCACAGAATGGTCTGATAAGCAGTGCATAGGTCTACACCAAGGATCCGAACAGGCAAACCCCAGGCCAGCAAAGAGGAACGTGCAAACTTAACCACTGCACCACTGGTCCGGCCCTAAAGATCTAATAGAATTTTTATTATAATGTAATTAAAAGAAATACTTAGGAAGGATTAATATTGTTAAACTGTTGAGGATTTTCATCTAGAAATATGCTTGTCTTCACAGGTTATTAAAATGGTTAGAAGCTAAACCTGACTTGTTAAAAATTTTTTCCTAAAGTTCTTCCATAGTAATGGTTGAGATTATTCCAGATTATTTCAAGATGTTTGTTTCATTAGCAGTTTGAAAAGAATATTTTCCAATTTGTGAAAACTTAATAAGCATTAATAGTGACAGAATAGCTATTGATCTTTATGTGACTGCCTGGTTCTGCATTTTTAAAATCTGGTACTGAGTCCAATATTTCACTTGAATATTTTCATTAGATATTTTAGTTCAGTCTCATGTATTAATGCAATGTACTATACTGTGAAATCTGTATTTAACTGTGGCGATAAAAAAACAACCCTCTGTTCCAATTTTTAATGTTTTTATCATTTTATGTTTCACTTTCTAGAAAGATACAGGGTATTGATTTACCATGTTTTGTCTTTAAAAATGTATAACAACAGAAAATATAGTAAGGTAACAGGATATAAAATAAAGATACTAAACTCACTATCTTCACATACACAAGAAATAGTGCAGGAGAACTTATAATGGAGAGAAAATCTCATTTATAAAAGGATCAAAAATGATAAAACATTTAGGAACTAAACTCAGTAAGAAATGTGTAATACTTATATGAGGAAAATTTGAAAGTAATACTGAAAGATGGAAGCACAGATACGAAGAAATGGAAAGTTACCTGCCCAGAGCTCAGGAGTGGAGCCATCATCTCTGTGGACAAAAAATTGTATCAAAGAGGATTATTGTTGTCTGAAAACCTAATGGAATTTACATGGCTAGGTTTCTGACTAACTTCAGTCTCATGACTCCTATTATATTTCTGATTTCTCACTTTAAGAATGGGACTGTCTATCCTACATCTGTCTCCTTATTATGTTTTGGAAGTAGATAATGTGTTATCTGGTTTCAGAGGTTCATAGAGAGAGAGGATTTTTTCCCCAGGATGAATTATACCTGGAAACTCTCTCAGACCTGGATATTTGGATGAGACTTTGAACTTAGAGTTGATCCCAGAACACATTAAGATTTTCAGGGGTATTGAGAAGAGAATAACATATTTTGCTTATTAGAAGGGCATGAATTTGGGGGAACCAGAGAGAAAATTTTATGGGCCAAACTACATCACCTCAAAATTCCTGTGTTAAAATCCTATCCCTTAGTGCCTCAGAAGTGATCTTATTTGGAAATAGGTTTGTTGCAGATGTAATTAGGTAAGATGAAGTCACACTGGAGTAGGCTGGGCTTCTAATCCAATATGGCTATTGTCCCTACAAAGAGGGAACATTTGAGCACAGACACACACAGAGAGAACACCATGTGAATATTGGAGTGTTGCTCCATAAGCCAAGGAAGTACCACAACTAGGAGAGGCCTGGGATGAAACTTTGTCTTGCTCCTTCACAGGGAGCATGGTCCTATTGACACCTTGATCTCAGACTTGCAGCTTCCAGAATTGTTATACAGGAAATGTATGTTGTTCTAAGTCACCCAGTTGGTGGTACTTGGTTACGGAATCCATAATAAGTTAATATAATTTATTTTATTCTCAGGAAGGATAATTCAACATCAGGAAGATGTTAGTTCTCCATAAGTTAATATTAACTTGATGTTATTAAGTGACTCCACAGCCAAATCTATTTTGTCTCAGCAATGGTCACTTAACTCACTGGAAAAGGTAGCTTTAAATAATCATATATCCCTTGATTATCTACTTGCTGAGCAAAGAGGCATCCGTGTGGTAGCAAACACCTCCTGTTGCACATGGGTAAATGCCTTCAGGGAAGTAGAAACACAATTACATAATATTAAAGAGCAAGAACATTTGCTACAACAAATTTCACCACATAACCCATTGTCTTTTGATTTATTCAGCTGGTTACACTTAAGTCTGAGCCCTGGTTTAGAACCATCTTGTAAATTGGGTTTATAGTATTGCTCTTAATTTTACTATGTATACTTATTGTAAAGTTCCTTACTTATTGCCTGATGAACCTCTGTAAAAATGGCATGTCCAATAAGGTGATGCTGGCTCAACACTTCCAGATGATCTCCAAAGCCTACCACCTTGGAGAAATGTAGACTTTAGTTGGGAAATGTCAGAGAGTTCTCCCTCTCCCTTGTTACTCAGACATAAACTAAATAATTTCTAAATACTGTGCACTTTCCCTCCAGTGTTGGACATGACAACCAGGAAAAGTCCTCCTTGGCACTGAGGGACTAGATCACTACCTGCAGAGAACCTGACTATCAATAAGCAATGCTTTTGGAGAAAGATTTTGATCAAAAGAGGAAAATGTGCCAATTAATAAAAGAAACCTTAACGAAATTAGAGTTGGGAAGGCCTGCAGGGGGAGCTCTCATGCCCTATCATACATCGTCAATTACACTAAACAGGAAGAGATATTACCTGCATCTTTGACAGGAAATAAAGCTACATTATTCTTGAAGGAAGATTTCTCTCCCCATCAGGCAACAGCCCAGACAATGAGAAATGCTGGGAGTCAGTCAATGAGAAGCCATTGCTGCCCTGAACTGTTACTTTCCTCCAATGGACTTTCGTTTAGAACAGCCCTCCCTGATCCTCATTTTTCTCATTAAAAGTAAATGCCTCTCATTTGTTTTCTGGATTTGTCTGTGGCTAGCCATAGCATGTGCATTCTGAATTTCAATTCTTTTAGCTGTTCCTGAATAAACTCATTTTGAGGGTAAAATAATAAGTGAATTTGCATTTTAAGTTGATATGCCTTGCCTCCAAGTCCATGGAAAAATGGGAACCCAAATCCACCAGTCTTTCTCAAACTCTGAGTTCGAAAATTCTACCAGGCCACTTCTCACCTGAGTGGCCTCATATTTCTGCATGTTGGTAAAATGCACCCAATCTGTTCAAAGTGGAGATTACTCAGGACATTGCATTCTCCATCTTCACTGTCCTATACAGGAAGGCAGAAGCCAGACCAGGCACTGTGGCCCCATCATTGATGATTTGATTTACTGCATCACTCAAGGAGAAAGTGGAAATGCAGGAGCAGCAGTTTAGGTTGGATTTGAGAAGTATCATGGCTTCCTGGCCCAAAAGGAACAACTGCAGCTGAGGTGGCTGGAAGAGGGTGAGTGAGCCACTGGGCAGAGCCTGCTGGAGATGAGGGTATTCCAGCAGAACCGGGCCCTAAAGGAGCTGGCCTAGGGACTGAAGGGGAGCTGCCAATACCTAGCCCTGGGTCTTCTTGAGGCAAGGCTTGGTGCCTGGTGGGGAAGGGAGTGGTGAATATGCAACCAAGGGGATAGACAGTGGCTTTTGGAGAAAAACTACTTTGGTATTTATGCTCTTTAGGAAAAAGGGTGCCGTAGAACTTACATGGGAAGCCTCTTAATTTTAAATCCTACCATTAGAATCAGAAGGCACACCCGAAAATCATAAAAAGTAGGTCACATTAGGGGCTGGCCCCATGGCTGAGTGGTTAAGTTCGCGCGCTCCGCTGCAGGCGGCCCAGTGTTTCATTGTTTCGAATTCTGGGCGTGGACATGGCACTGCTCATCAAACCACACTGAGGCAGTGTCCCACATGCCACAACTAGAAGGACCCACAATGAAGAATATACAACTATGCACTGGGGGGCTTTGGGGAGAAAAAGGAAAAAAATAAAATCTTTAAAAAAAAAAGAAAAAAATAGGTCACATTAAGGACAAAAACTTAAATATTTTTTCTAAAAATTAAAGTTAATTTGATGGCTTACATAGTTTAAACAGAAAAAGAACAACCTACGCTATGCTGACTGAAAAACACTTAAAACCTCACAATCTTTAAATGACTAGATTGGTGTATTCAGTGACCGCCAATCAAAATCATCGTTAGTAACTCATTTGACTCAATAACCAAGCATATAAAGAATGCTTACAATTGTTCAGCTTAGAATTTTCATGTTAAATTTTAAGACAAATGCTAATTTCCTTCCCCAT